GGTGGGTAAGCTGCTTGAATTCCCTCTGTATCCTTGGTGTCAGTTCCTTATCTGAGGCAGTTTGCAAATATATTCTCCCATTCTACAGGTTGTCTCCTCACCCTGATTATTCTTTTCCTGTACAGAAGCTTTTTAGCTTGATGCAGTCCCACTTCTCTATTTTCAAGATGACTACCTGTGATTTGAGGATCTTATTTAAGAAGTCTTTGCCTACCCTGATGTCTCCAAGAGTTTCCTCTGTGTTTTCCACCAGTATTTTTTTAGTTTAGGTTCTATGTTTAGATCCTTGATCCATCCCGAGCTAATCTTTGTTAATGGTGACAAATAGGGGTCCATCCCCACCCCTCTGCAGGTGGGCATCCTGCCCTTCATCACCACCTACTGAAAAGATCTCCCTTCTCTCACTGGGTTGTCCTGTGCCCTTTGTCAAAAATTAGTTGCTGTACATTTTGTTTATTTCTGGGTTGTCAGTTCTCCTCCATTGTTCTACACACCTGTTTTTGTGCCAGTACCATGCTGTTTTGATTATCACAGATTTATAATCTATTTTGAGATCAGGAAGTGAGATGCCTCCTTTATTTTTTTCTGTATAGTATTTCTTTGGTGATATGAAGTCTTTTATTATTTTAGACAAATGTTACAATTTTTTTTCTATTTCTGTGAGGAATATCTCTGGTATTTTGATTGGAATTTCATTAAAGTTGTAGATTAATTTAGGTAAGACTGACATTTTGATTATACTAATTCTTCTAATCCAGGGACATGGAATGTCTTTCCAGTTTTGTGTATCATTTTCATTTTTTTTTTTTTTTTTTAGTTTTTCATAGTTTTTCTTGTAGAGGAGGTCTTTCACTTAGTTAGGTTTATTCCTAGGTATCTTGTATTTTGTTTGTGGCTATTGAGTTAAGTTTATTCCTAGGTATCTTGTATTTTGTTTGTGGCTATTGAGTTAAGTTTATTCCTAGGTATCTTGTATTTTGTTTGTGGCTATTGTAAATTTGTAAATGAGATTGCTTTATTCAATTTTACCTTGGCCTGCATATTGTTGGTGCATAAAAATGCCATAGATTTGTATATGTTGATTTTATATCCTGCCACTTTACTGTATTCATTTATCACTTCCAGGAGGTTTGCCTTTTTTTTTTTTTTTTT